GTAGTGTAAGACACCAAATGTATAAATAAGGACCAAAGTATATTAAATGTATTGTGAAGTAGAAATAAATTGTTCAAAAGAAAACAAGGAGGAAAAGAGAAAGGAAAGAAATGAAAAGAAAAAGAGGGTCCATACTCTTAAGTGAAATAAATCGCACACACATGTTTAAATGTCACATTGTTTCTCTGGTGTGAGAAATTGAAAGGATCGGTAAGGACCAAAACATATACTAGATACTGGGAAATAGGGAGAAAATATTCAAATAGGGAGGAGAACAAGGGGTGTGGGAGAGGGAAAGGAAAGAAGAGAAAATAAAAAAGAATAGAAGAGAGAAAATGGAAACAAAGCTGTTGTAAACAAGGAAGGGTAGAAGGTTTGAAGGGAAGGGCAGGGATAGGTAAAAAAGAAGAATCACGATACATCATATACAGGGACAAACTCCCTCTGATGAATGTGACCGTTGTGTACATCTAACATGTACCAATAAAATTAATCAAAAAAAAGTTAATAGAACTAAAAAAAAAAAAAATACCATCAAATATTTCCCAAAGTAGCCCTTGACAATGTCTTTCATGACGAATGTTCAAGTCAACAATTTAAAGTCAGCAAAAACGTCCTTCTGTAGATGTCTTTCTCACTGAACCATCTCATGGTCTCCCCACAGTATGATCCATCTTTCCCTCTGCCAGTGTGCTGCCCTGCACGGAACTCCACCTGGGTGGCTTCTCAGAGGGACAGCCTCAGGCCTCTGCTGGTTTCCTAGGCATTATCTACGGAGGGCCTCCAGTTCTCTTCTTGATCTAATCTGTGGTTATCATACTTCCAAATGGGGTCATCAGAAGAGTTTCCAGTTGTGACTTCCTACTCTAAAACACCTGTTTTCTTCCCCAGAGTCTTTAAATTTCTAATGCCCTTGAGATAATATACTCAGGAGGGGTGCAATTTTTTAGTGCACCTAGAGGATTTAATATACAGAATGCCAGGCTTTACCATCAGAGATTCTGACACTGTCCCAGGTTGGGACCTGAACATGTGCAGTGCTCACAGTGATAGTGATGTTGCCAGGTGCAAACTCAACTTTTGAGAAGAGCTGTTGCAATAGAAGTATGCACCATGGGGCTGAGGACGTAGCTCAGTGGCACAGCACCTGCCTGGCAAGTGTAAGTTTGTGAGTTTGATTCCCCGTACCAAAAAATAATAATAATAATAGAAATACCCACCATAGATCAAACTTTGCAACTGCATTATTTGCTAGCTGTGTGACAGTAAACAAAAGACAGTGTCTGAAATTCTCACTGACTTCACTAATAAACATTAAAAATGACAAGCAACACCACATAAGGTTGTTGTGGGGATTCAATAAAAATGGAAACACTCACACCACATGCACTCTCACATGGCATTAACTATGACTGAAGAATGAGCTCTATTAATGTCTAGTCTTTCTGACCCCCTTTTCCTGGCTGAAGCATTCAACATGAAGAAGCTCAGTGGGGCTCTTCACAGAGCATTTGCTCCCCTTCCACTGTGGACTGCAACAAACCTAGCATGACTGACTCAACACCAAGATAGGCTCTCATCCTCTGAGACACAGAATTAGTTGTTCTTCAAAAAGAAATACTGATCATTTCTCTAAGAGTTGTCAAAGGGCTCCAGCTACCTCACCATTACTCTCATTAACTTCTCTGTGAAAAAACCAAATGGCAGAAGGGTTCCAAGGGACAGGTACCCATCAATGACTGTAACTCAGTTGAAGGTCACTTGTTTAAAAGTCCCCAAACGTCCTATCTTTACAAACCTTCCTAAGTTATCCAAAATGAACTTCAGCAGGAGAAAACCTGGCTGTGTTCCTTCTGAGCAAAGGGAAATGAAGGTAAGTCTGTCTGCTAGTTTGTTTTGTTTTGTTTTTTCTCTTTTGAGAGTAGTTTTATCTTAAATCAAATAAATATACACTAACCAATAGAAATTGTGTTTTCTTCAAAGCTTTCTTTGGGGTGTCAAATTTGCACTGTCAGTTGTAATCTGATTGCCTATTGGCTGTGAACATGGAATACTTGGCAAATAGAAACTGGGAGCAGTATGCCAGCGAGGACAAAATAGGAGGAGGACCTAAAATCTTCCCTTTCTTACTGAGCACTCACTTTGTTCAAGCTTTATTAAGTTGAAGCACTTCACACATCCTCTTATTTGCTGTAATAATCCCGTCATAAAACAAGGTGTTCCACACCCACTTTATGTATTCTAAAATTGAGGATTTGAGAAGAGGTAAAGAAAGCTAGCTAGTGGCAGGATCAGGTTTGAAGCTTGTCTTTCTAAAGTTTGTTTCTTAATCATCACACCGGGGGCTGGGGATTTAGCTCAGAGGCACAGCACCTGCCTGGCAAGTGCAAGGTCGTGAGTTCGATTCCCAGTACCGGAAAAAAACAAACAAACAAACAAACAAAAATCATCACACCAAATTCCCTGTCATTAGCACCGAGAAAGAACCCCTAAGAATCCCTTATTCCTAAGGGTTCAGAAGGGAATATTCAAAGATGAATGAAGCATACATGCAAATGTGGCAAATCTCAACAACTGCTGAATCTAGACCAGTAGTGTCTCATGTTTGTTGTACTATTCTTTTCTGTATTCACTATTTTGCAGACTGCATGCACTATTCTGTTGCACTGAGGGTTTTTTTGTTTTTGTTTTTCAGTCATATTATTTTTTTTCATAATCAAAATTATAGGAACAAGAAACATTCACCAAACTTCAAAAAACATTGTCATTGGGGAAAGTTCAGAATATGGATCAAAAAAAAAAAAAAAAAAAACAAATAATGCAAACAGCATTCCAAAGGAGAATTTGCTGAAGAAATTGATATTATTTGTATTAATGTCTTGGTGCAAGTCTTTCCTTAATTCCATTAGCTGTGATATTGGGGCCCATGTCTGTGTAAAGCTGTGGAACTTTGAGTGTCCACAGATCTTCCTGTACTTTCTTTAGGCACCTGAAATCATCATGGAAGTTCTCTTATTCATTTCAGTGGCAACAACCTAGCACTCCTAAGACAATCCCCAGAGATATAGTGCCTCCTCATACTGTTTTTCTGTCTCCCACCCCACTCCTTTTAAGTGTGGTTTTGGCTTTGTAATATTCATGTTTGCACCACATTGTATTTGAGAATATAACAATTTTTTTTCTCAATTCTGGCATCCGTTTGTAGAAAGAACGTTGCCTCTAAAATGTAAAACAAGGTTTAAAAAATTAAATAATATTTATTTAACACAATTTGAGTCACATTTTTAATATGATAAGCAAGTTAAAGTGTATCTTTTAAAAAATCACATAATACCCTTACACTGCGCAACTACATATTTCTGAAGATCCTAAATTTATACAGCCAATATTATAATCTATTTAAATGAATGTGAAAAACATCACCCAGAAGGTTTGTACCATAATGATTCAATTTAACACCAAAAATCAGGCCTGTCTCTTTCCATATCTATCAACAACATATTTTACATGTAATTCATTCACAAAATATAATAATTCACTAGAAAATTTTTAACACCACTAATCATCCTGCAGGCTGCAGGCCCAGTCATATAATTAGAGCCAGAATTTTCTGGTTACAAAAGTGTTTAGAGTAAGCCAAAGAAATTCAGAATTTCTGAAGGTAACACCCAGTTATTACGTTTGTGAGTTAGTCCTACAAGATCAGTACAGTGAGGGAAGAGAAAGTGTGAGCTTCAGACATGGGCTATTTATTTTCAATTTTTTTGTATGCAATTTGGGTAAATTCCCCGACCACTTTAACCCTCACATTGTGCGTTATGAAATGACAATAATGATAGCAACTCTAACACACTACTGTTGCAGAAATAAAATTTTTAAAATTCATGTAGAATGTAAGACACAGGGCCTGTTGACAACTAAGCACTTAATCCATGCTGCATATGATCATCATGATTATTATTTCCATGCAGTAGTACCAAACTCAGGTCCGAAACTAACCTCGTCCTAATCTCTAAATTTGCTCTTTCTTTTCTATTCTTGATTCTTGTTTAATGAGTGGATTGTGGTCTTGTTAAATAAGAAAATGAGAAATCTCATTTTTTGTTGGTGGTGCGGGTGGGTTTTCTTGGTTGTGTTTTGTCTTCGTTTGTTTGTTTGTGATGGGGTGCTGCTATGTTACCTTTATACCTGTTATTTAACTGTAACGTCTTCTTCGGATTACACTGCATCCGTGATTTCTCACTAGTAGCGCTGTGATTTGTCTTCTCTCCTGCATGTCCTCAGATCCACGCCCTTATCGTTCCCCACCCAATGACTGCAAAAGCTCCTTTCTTCCAATCTTACCCTGTCTCATCTATCACCCCATAAGGTTTCCAAATAACAACTCTTAATTATCATTTTACTTTCTTTTTTAGAAGTATGTAATAATTTCTTATGGGTTTTCAGGTTACTGCTCAAACTTGACAAATCACATGTGTATGATCATCTCTAAGCCTTTCTAAAATCCCTATTACTTTTCTATGTGTAGGAAATAAACTTTGGCTCTTAAAGCTTATTATCTCACTGTTTCTATGGGTTGGGAACTTCAGGGATTTACCTGAAGACTCTGCTTCAGAATTCTGTGCTAAGGCCACAATGTAGGTATCAGCCAGGGCTACAGTCTTATCTGAAGACCAGTATGGAAGATAGTCTGCTTGAAGCTCCTTTACAGGGCGGAAGTTAGTTTCCGGGAGTGCCCACATTCTTCAGTGGGGATGTGCCACCGGTCTCTTTTTGATCCTAGCATGGTGGGTTTCTCTGAAGAGCTGCTAGCAATCTGGAAGCTTGCTTCCCTAGAGCTAGCAACACAGGAAGACAGGCAGAGAGAGCAAAGAAATAGTGAGACAGAAATCAGCACTTTTGAAACTTAATCTCAGAGGTGAAATCCCTTTGCATCAGTCACAAACTACTCATTAGAGGTGAATCGCTAACTGTAAGTCATACTCAAAGAGTGAGCCGAGATGTGGGAAGGGCACAAAAGCCGGAACACCAGGATTCAGGAATCCCTGGGGACCTTCTCGGATGCTGCATTGCAAGCCCTTTATATTGGTAGTAAAACAGGCATTTATTCTCAAAACAAAGTGGGTGAAAAAAGCAACACGAGAAGACAAAAAATTGAGCAAGCAAAGGGATGAATGATATATTGCTTAAACACCTCATAGAAAAGTAAAACCCAAGTTCTTAAGAGACTAAGCCAGACAGAGGCTAATCGATTCACAATTCAAAACTTACTTCCAAAACCTAATAGTGAGTGTACTTGAAAATGAGGGAGAAGCGAGTAAAGAGGAAGCAGGAGTTCAAAAAGCAAAGCACATAATGCAGGTCTCAGAAGAGGCTTTTCAAGATGACAGAGTGTGACACAAGCTGAAGAACAGACAGTTCGAACTGGAGCTGAGTTGCCCCTTGTAGAGGACAGCATGTGCTAAGAGTGTGGGCTGCAAGAGGAAAATTAAACAGAGAGGCTATCTGACATATTTGATCCTATCCAGGAAAGATTTTCAATTTCACCATAGCTTTGAGGACTAGATAATTGCTAGGGTGGGCACAAAGCTAAGAAAATGAAAAAAAATAAAAAGAATACAAAGAAACACAAAGTTCATTGATTATTTAAAAAGCCATATATAAAATAAAGGAGGTGTAATGATAGTGCACAAATCTCAGCTGTAAAAATCTATTCACAGGTTTTGAAGTGAATATTTTACCAAGTTTATTGTAACAATAGGAGGTAAAGTGTGCGTGTGTGTTTATGTATGTGTGTGTGGAGAGAGAGGGAAGTAAGTGCCTTGCTTTATAAGATATGGAATATCTTATATTCCATACCTGCATAGGGTAAGGATAGTCTCCAATAAATTATATTTATAAGATATCTATGTGCAATTTTAACACATATTAAGAACTGTACAGACACATTGGTCAAACCCTCCTGAAATCCATTGTTAAATCTAATCCCAGGGACTGTATACTCAGTGGAAATTCTCAAAAGCAAAGTTAATTTAAAATAAATCCCAACACAAGGTAATTATTCTGAGATATTTTTTCCTTATTTTAAAAAATGTATTATTAGATGCGACATATTATACTTGCAAATTTATATAGATTTTAACAGGAAATCCAAATGGAATTAGAAAATCACTGATGATGATATAGTTCTGCTAGTTCTTAACTTACTGGCTTCCACTGGCTTCTTATAGAAAAATTCCCAAGCTTTAGTTTAAAAATGTATTATGACTTCAGGCAAATTACTTAAGTCTTTAAGTCTTTATTTCTGTAAGAGTAGAGGAATGCATATTTCCCATATTTGAGATGCATATCTCTAATGTGGGAAAATATGTCAAATATGAAAAAAACAAAATATATAAATTTTAAAAATGAACTAGCTCTTATATTCCATACCTGCATAGTGTAAGGATAGTCTCTAATAATTTGCAATATATTTCAAAATAGCTAGACAAATCCAAAGCTTTCCAACACATGTGGATAATAAATGTTTGATGATGTGGAAATGCTAACTACATTTATTTGGTCATTATACATGGAATATATGTATCCAATTATCATAGCATATTCCACAAATCTGTACAAATATTATGTGATAATTAAAAACTTTCTAAATGTAAACCAATTGCAAAAGGAGGGAAGAAAGAAAGGCAGGAAGGTAGCAAGGAAGGAAGGAAGGAAGGAAGGAAAGGAGGGAACAAGGGAGGGAGGGAGAGAAGGAAAGTAAAAGAAAGAAATATGGAGGTTAATTCAAAAGAACTAAAGGGAAGGGGTCTAGGAGGAAGTAAGGCCCAACTATCATATTTTTACAACCTTTATAATATAAATTCTCTTTTTAAAATGTGATATATGTATTACTCCGATCAAGCAATACTAAAATTTTAATATATCCTTTATAAATAAATGTATTATAGAAAAGATTGCTTTTAATAATACCTTCAGCTTCATCTGTAGTCTTCAAAACTGGAAGTCAGTTATAAGCAGTGTATTAAAATTAGCCCCTGCTTCCCCAGGCCATTTTGTTCCTGAGCTGCTTTCTCTTCTTTCTACGCAGTCTTCTCTGTCTGACTCCTGCTCCCTTGATCAGGAGCAGCTTAGACTTTCCTTATTTTGACCTATGAACTGGGTGCTGGCCTTGTCAGCCCCGTGTCCTGGACACACATTACAACAGGACTGGTTCTCACACTGTTGTGCATCACTTCAACTTTTATCTGCATCTTTCCACCTCTCTCAGAAAATGTTGGCAATATTGTTGGCTGTCTGGTTTATGCCTCGTTAAAATTCCTTTATGAAATGACTTGTTCAGTATTTTCAATGATACTTGGTGATGTGCCTTTAAAAGTCTGATGTTCACATTTAAAGTAATTGTTAAAAACTATGTTATGTATAGTTATTGTAATGTATTAGACAGGAGTATGAATTCTAGAGCTTGATTTTCTTCATGCAAATTCATACTTCATGACTCTTCTAGAAAATTATTTAAACAATTTATGTCTTACATGAAAAATTAGAATGATAAGTGAACTTTCTGAGAGAGACGTTGGATTAAATAAATATTGAAAAACACTAAAGGCAGTGCAAGGCTCATAGGTACAGGAACCTACTTTTGTTTTAACTTTACCTCCATGATCTACAGAAAACTGAGATGACATTTTACTATGATCATGTTACTAGCTCTTTGCCTAGTGTGATACTTACGACTGTCACCTTGGCTTGATTAAGAGACTGGTAGAAATGTGATTGGATCAGGGAAGCACCACACTCATCACTGCATTTATTCATTGATAAGTTCCATAGCTTAATATGTGTTCGGATGCAGGGTTTAGTTGGAAATAGGTTACTGGGGGTTTCTCTAGCTGGAATATCCTGTCTGGCACTCTTACCCTGTATTCTGCTTCCCTGTCACCACGAAGGGAGGAGTGTTGTTCCGCCACACACATCCATCATGACATTTCCTCTTTGGAATTAACTGACCATGGACTGAATCCCCTGAAGCCATGAGCTAAATTTAAACTCTCCATTTGGAGAGACAAAATGTCAGGCATTTTGTCCCACCGTGGAAAGCTGACTAACACAACTTCTTGCTTCATACATTTGGATTTTCCATATAATGTAGAGTAGTTCATAATTTCTGGAGAAGTACACCTTATTTGTGGATTGTACTGTTTATAAGTAGGAATGGCCAACCTTTTTCAATTTAACACTTTCAAATCTTGAATTCTATTTTGTCTTGTGAGGATATGCTGCTCCCTGCTTCCACCCATGCTCAAACTGGCAGTCGAACCCAGCACCTTATACTTGCGAGGCAATCTGTCTACATTAAGCTGTACCCCTAGGCTTCTCGGGGGTTGAACTTTTCTGTTTGTTTGGTTTGAGACAGGATCTTGCTGTTTCCCAGGCTGGCCTCAAACTTGTGATTTTCCTGCAACTGCCCAAACATCTGCCCCCAGCTAACATCTACTTTTAACGCTTTCCTTTTTCTTTGCTCCTCATTTTGAATGAATCTGTTGCATTCTTTACATTTCAGTTTCAGTTGCCATATTAATGCAGTTCTAATGTGTCACTTAGATGGATTTCAACTGGAGCCTGTGCAGGGAAATTACTCGTTGTATAAAGAGGTTTAAATATATTTATTGTCAAAGTTGGTGGGCTTCCATAGATTCTTATTGTACTGGTTACTTTTTCAGTTTATTTAATTTTCTCTGTGCAGGTTTTCTTGAATCTTTATTTTTGTAGTCTATATAATGAATTAGTACTTTTACTTTTATAGGAATTTGTAATATACTATTGATTTTTATTTAGATCTGCATTTGTCAAATCATTGACATTAAGAGAAAAGAATACCCAGATTCCTTGGAAATCAGAAAAATTAATAACCACTTTCAAATTTCAGTGTATGTTGCTTAGAATTTTGCTATTAAAATGTCATATATATATATAGTCTTTCTGAGACAGGGACTATGCAGTTCAGGCTGGCCTTGAGCTCACTTTTTACCCAAGTTGGTCTTGAAGTCACAATGATCCTCCTGCCTCAGCTTCCCAAGTGCTGGGATTACAGGTGTGTGCCACCACATGTGGCTTATATTATATACATTTTTCCTCTGCATTTACTTGTGGACATTTTAATGTTTCGGTTTCCAAGTAAGTTCCACTGACATCTATGTACATATTTAAATTTTATGTTATTTCAAAAAGTTGCATAACTAGCATAAGTCCTAAAGAAATATCCAATATTTTTCCATATAAATTAATGGAAGTACACAGGATAGCTCAGTGTAGAATACTGAGGTGATAAATAGGCATAAGCCTACCCATCAAAACTGTCCTTAAGGGGGCTGGGGATTTAGCTCAGCGGCAAAAGCGCCTGCCTGGCAAGCGCAAGGTCATGAGTTTGGTTCCTGGTACCGGAGAAAAACCAAAAAAAAAAAAAAAAAAAAAAAAAAAAAAAAAAAAAAAAAAAAAAACTGTCCTTAAGGAAGTCAAGAAATTATGACTGAAGCTTTCTATCATTTTCAAAATCTATCAGAATACCTTCCTCAATTTGAAGGACAGAATTTTAAGCAACATCTCTTTTTGTCTATCTTTCATAAAGGTGAGAACTCAAATCTGCTCAAATGTATAAAAGGAAAATTTAGAAAAATAAAATTGATCACAGGACTAAAGCAAGTGTAGTAATATTTCAAAGCTTTTTAATGCCCCCTTGCGTATTGAGGCACATCTAACCATAGTACATTACTTCATAAAAATAATGTTTACTCCCTTATAGTCACAGTATATGGACATGATATTTGGAAGTGTTTGACATGTGAATGGATTCATCTGCTTGTTCAGTTTTATAGGCTATTTCTTATTCTTGTCTTTTATTGATCAGACAGTAAAAATTAGATATCTATGTTCATTTGATTATCTTATGAGAAAAATCTCACAGCATATTTTAATTATATTCACTTCATGGCATGAGTAAGAAAAAAATCAGTAAATATTCAGCAAGAGAGTGGCATTATTTGTTATTTCTCATTTACCCTCACTAAATTTAATTGAAATTCTAAGTGCACACAGATGTCTAGCAAAACAATTTCCAGTGGAAAATCTACTCCAACTGTGGTGTTTTGAATTTAGCTAATCTTAAAAATTCTTTACTTTTAAATTATTGTAACAAATTGGTTGAAAAGGTGCTCTTTATGAGAGAAAATGATGTTAATTTCCTTGGTAGAATGGATATTAAATAAAAATTTTGTTTACCAGATAATGTGTTTTCAAAAATAACAATATTTAAATCATAGATGTTAGGCATGCAAATAATGAAATAACCTATTAATACTGACTAAATAATAAAATAGATGTTGATTGTAGATAATGTCTAAAAGTAATATTAGCATCATTCATAGCTACAGAACAATAGTACATCACAAAACCAACCTTGGTACGATACATAGGGCTTTTCAGATTTCATCATTCATTCCTGGTATGTTGGTATGTTTATGTGAGTGCATGTCCAAATGTCTGTATAGTTCTGTTCAATATCATCACAAGAGTAGTTTTCGGTACTTACTACAATGAAATCCATCACCATAGTGCTCCCTCAGATAACCTCAGAACTATGCCCCCCATCCCTACTTCTTCACCTCTGGCAGCCACTACTTCCTTCTCTGTCTCTATAATTATGTACTTATTACAATATATTATTAATAGTATTATTCTATGGTCAACATAGGTTATTTGAAAAAGAAAATTTCTCAAAGAACTAAAATTAGCAATTCCATTTGACCCAACTATTCTCCTTCTAGTTATCTTGCTAAAAGAGATAAAAACATCATATTAAGATGATATATGCACACCATATCCTGGAAGCAGCCTGAGTGTCCATCAATAAATGAATGGATGAAGCACATGTGAAACCTATGCACAATGGACTATGACTCAGCTACAAAAAAAAACAAGTTTGAGACATCTGTAGGAAAATGGATGTATCTGGAAAATATAATGTTAAGTGAGATAAATCAGACACACAAGCTTAAATACCATATAATATCTCTCATTTGAATAAGTGTAAATAAAGCATAAATAAAAGGCAAAGTAGAAGTTTGATAGAAGGAAACAGGGAAGTAGAACTTTTGCAAATGGGGAGGGGTCAAGGAGACAAGAAAGTTGGGAACAAGAAGGATAAAAAGATTTAAGATGTATCAGGTGCATGTGCCAATTATCCACAATGAATGTAAACACTGTATATCATAAATATGAAGCAAAATTAACAATATTAACAGCAGCAATGACAATGGGAAAAGGGACTCCAGAGACAGAGGAACGTGCAAGGGTAAAAGAAACCCAGACAGGTCATGTACATATGCCTGTTCCCTAAGATGAATGTGAGCTTCATGCTTTACCAACATGTACAACCAAAGTAAAATTAAAACGAAAAAAATACCAAGGAAATTAAAATAATAAAATTTTCAAAATCATATGTAAATATGTTAAACAAATTATTCTCAATATCTTTAATATGCTCCATATAGTTTAAATGTAAAATATGCCAGCTTATCATATTCTTAAATAGAGCATAAAAATCAGCTGATCAACTGCTGGCAAGTTCATCAGAGTTTCTCCAGTATGCGTGGACAGCGCTCCAATACAGTGCTAGCTGCAGTTCCAAAGAATGGGTTCCTAGAAGGAAAATCTAGTAGTTCAACATTGGTGGACATAGCGAGGTGAGAATTGGGGTGAGCAAAATCCTACACACTGTGTGAGCCATTGGTATCAATAAGCATTCAGTTTTCCTGACAGGAGAGCTGTTTACCCAGAAAAGCAAAATGTTTATCCAGATAAATTGGTTTACAGCAATTTCCTGAAGTAAACAGTAAAGTTATTTTTTAGTTTACTCTTGCCTTGCTGGTAAAGAATTTCCTAGGAGACACAGAAAATGGTGGCAAGTTATCATAGGTATTCAGAGTTCTCTGTCCTTCCTTCTTATGCCTGTATTGGACAATAAATCAGTATCATGATCAATCTACATCTGCACTACTCACTGCAAAGTCACTGTCACATAACAAGTTTCTGCGGGTGGTTAATTCAACCTCCATAACAGTTTATGCTTTGGGGTGTACAAATATTTGGGCACTGTGGTCATATAACACCATTTAAGACTCTGGAGATTATATATTTAAGTAATACAGTAAATGCCAAAAAAAAAAATTATGCTTATAAGAGTTTTTAATTCTCCTCTAAACCAGGAGCTGTGTTATGGGTTTTTTTTTTTTTTTTGACACCTCCCCCAAGGCCTCACCTACTCATAAGTGAGGCTTTCCAGAGGTGGCTGGATCTAGGGTATGTGAATATGGATTAAGGGTGTGTGGTATCTGGATTAGTTCCATAGCTGGATTAACATTCTGAGTATGGCTGAATAGATTTACTGAAGAGGGAAGAATCACCCGGGTATGGGTGGCACCAATCAATAAGGATATAGAGAAGGCTGGCTCATCGGTTTGTGTGCTCAGTTTAGGCGCTCGGTTTGTCTTACATACTTTCACTTTGCTGAGATAAAATAGCCAACACCCACACATTCTGTATTCATTTTTTTTTGACATTTGATGACATTCATTTTTTGATATTCATTTAGTGATGTACACGCAGGCTGCTTCCAGGATTTGGTTACCTTCTTCTGCCTGTTACACCATGAATTCTATCTCCTCTGTGAAGCCCCTCTGTCATGTGCCACCTGCTCTGGAGCCAGCTGACTATGGACTGAAACCTCTACACACTGTGAGTTAAATAAACCTAGAAATTGCTGCTAGAAATTGTGAGTGTTGGCTATTTTATCTCAGCAAAGCAAAAGTATGTAAGACAAGCTGAGCACCTAAACTAAACCAAGAGAAAGGATCATTTTAAAAATCAGAAAAAAAACTTAAAATGAGATGTTAGGATACTAATAGCCATATCTTAATGTATATATTTAAATAGATACAAAGCTATATTTCATATCACATATAAATTTGCATATATTATGAGTTGAAATTCATATGTTCAGATTTGACTATGTCGAAATTCTAAACCAGAAACGAGGCCATATTTGGAGATGCGCAGCTTGAAGTGGTAAGGAAGTTGACATGGGGTCATCAGGGTGGACCTTGTTCCAGCACACCCAGGGTTCCTATAGAAGCTCAGGACACAGGAAGACACAGAGGAGGCCATGAGTGTACAGGGAAAAGACCTGCAGGTCAAGAAGGGGTCCTCTCAAGAAAGGAACTCTACCAGCACAGGACGCACTCAGGATTGTGAGGAAATGAACTGACACTGTTTAACTCCTCAAGTCTGTGGTATTTTGTTGTGGCGGCTAAGCAAACCAGTACAATACATATTTATATTTTTCTTTACTTCTCAAACCAAGTATGTCACTCTCTGTCCTATGTCACTCTGTGCTCTCAGTGTCCCTGAACAGGGCCCTGTGTAGGGAACAGAGATCAATTTCTCACGGTGCTGGAGTCCAGAAAGCCACGATCAGGGCCTCGGTATCCAGGCCAAGATGAAGGCCTTTGTCTCACATCCATGGAACAAACTCAGGTTTCACAGAACAGAGCAATGGAAAAGTGCAACCTACTCCCACTGCACTTCCCAGAACAGTGAGAATCCATTTCTGAGGGTGGAAACCACACAGTCTGCACCCCTCCCACATGACCTCCCAACACTATTGTGCTGAGTTTCTTTTCCAACACATGACTTTAGGGAGCACATCCGAGTCTTGCCACTGTCTTTGTCCAAAGTAGTCATGGTTTGTTCTTTCAAACTCAGGGAAAAAATCTGTAGAGTGTCAAAAAAATACTTACTCATGCACACAAATCTACCAGATTAATAACTGTTGATGTGGATCATTTAAAGGCATTGCATATACTTTGCTCCACATCCATTCTACACAATATCTTTCAAAAAGTATAGGTGCAAACAATGATTAATGACCAATGTTTTTATCATTTTCTTCTAGAGATTGTATATGTATTGAAAGATTAAATTATTAACACAATTAGTAGTTAACCTAAAACCTTCTAAAGTTACACTCTAGCAATTAAAATTAAATGGGCAGATAAAATGTAGACAGTTGGCCTAAATACTCTAAAAGTTATTTTATGTGTTCACTTAGTTCAATAGCGCAAGATTATACCCTTAAAACAACTTATAGAAACACTGATGACTCAAATAATCCAACTAATGTAAAAATTTGGAAAGACTAACTCACAAGAAATTAGACTCAAGGTATGTACTAACTAAAACATTATGCTAATGATTTTACAGTATGGTAATACCAGAGAGAAAGCCTGGCATGGTGGTGCACACCTATAATCCTAACCCTCAGCAGGCTGAGGTAGGAGGATTGCTGTGATTTCCAGGCCAGGCTGGGCTACAAAGTGAGTTTGAGGCCAACTTGCACTCCACAGTGAGACCCTGTCTCAAAAGGACAAAAAAAAGGAAAAGAAAAAAGATCAGGGAGAAAACATAAAGGTTTTTTAAACTAATATTAAAATGCACTAACTCTTAAGAATTAGCACTATTTCTGGAGTAGCATATAAATATATTAAATGCAATTTATAAATTTATATATTCTTTTACAAAATTTTAGAGACTCCAAATCATGACAAAAATATCTAACTTTCTGCTTTTGTGAAGAACCAAAGCCATTACTCACATTAAACTTTTTTACCCGTCAGTTTTTAATGACTATATTTCACTCTTATAACTTATAGAGACTAGTAAAATTATAAAAATACAATGATATTATAATGTAACCTGCTTCACTGTAATAAAAGCACATTAGAAAATTTGAACTTATTTTAAATGTTTATTCAAACATATCTTCTTGATCATTCTTCCACCTCTTGATCATTCTCCCATAGCTCCATCCAAACAGTAAAATAAAAATCACGCTACAATATAAGATTCTAATTTATAAAATAAAAGTAATACTTTCTAATTAGGTGAAATACTCAAAACTATGATTGGGAAACCTTCCCAGTCTAGTAAAATGATATTGTATCATTTGGAACATCATGTAATTAAATACTGGAAATGAGATATTGTTGAAATGAGAACCCTGTCTAAATGAATAATCTTCACTTATACAATTCTGTGCAGTGTTCAAATGTTGGCTAGCAAAGTTTAGTCATGGAAAAAAATCTGAAATGTAATTTTTCTTATTTAATTCTCTATGCAGAATGAACCTAAGAGGAAAGAAAAATTAGCTCATTGATGTTCAGTATTGGCAAACTTTAACTGAATTACTCTAGGGAAACAAGAGTCAGTTCCACTAAAATCATCAAGTTTTAGCTCCACTCTCGAGTAAATTGTGAAGTATACTGTCTAAGTCTCTGAAGTGGGGAAGAGACAAACAGATCGGATGAGTAAGCAGTGACCTCTTGCTCTCAACTCCATCCTCTGGACAGGCTGTTTAACTGATGCTCAAGTTTGACTGGTCCTTTTACAGCTTTCTTCATTTCATTCTGCTTATAATGAGGTCAAATGACACAAACACTGGGGAACTCAGTAAATGGAAAGCTGCTGGCTCTCCTTGAGCTCAAGTAACTCCAAAGTTACATTAGGAGGATATAAAATATAAGTGATTTTTATACAAGTTTATCATCTTTTTATGTTAGGATTATAAATAGATATCAGAGCAATTTGTCCAATTTCTTCTTCACGAATTCTTAGTTCATTTTTATCCTTCACCAATCCCCTTGAACTGCTGTAAATTCCAAGTTAATTTTGTAGGCTATTATTTTATAGTACCAGTTTGTATGATTAAAAAAGAACTGAGTGGGCTGGGGTGTAGGCCAGTGGTAGAGTGTGGGCTCACCATATATAATCCACAGCACAGCAGAAAAGAGTTTATTTAATTCAGAGCTCATTTTCTTCAGTATGATAGCTGAAACATTCCTCAGTACCTTCCTTTGTATAGATATAATTACTATTTCAAAGAATTGTGGGGCTTAAGAGCTCTCAGTTATATCAAAAAAATCACGGCCTTACAAGTAGTGTCAAACATTGTCCTACATCTCTTGGTAGATTTAGAAAAAATGGCTCAGGCTCATACAGTCCATAAAAGGCAAAGCCACTTTGTCTCAGGCAGCTTACATAGAGATAATATATCCTCATACTACATGCCAAGGAGCCTCCAGTGGCAATGTCTCATTTTATTAATATAAACTAATTTCTAATAGATATTTAAGAGCAGAAATTTTTTGTAGCACAAATGTCTAGTTTCAGTGTCAAATGCTGTTTATGTTTTAAATTTAACTTACTAGAAACCAGCTAACATAATTTGGAGTTGTTTCATACAGAACTATGGTTATTAGAATATGAGGATTTTATTTTATTTTATATGGCTGACAAGAAGTACCTGTAAATTAGAAATCTGTTGTGAGATTTCAAATAATCCTCATGTTCTGAATAAGTGTGAATTGTACATACAGGCACACACACACACACACACACACACACCTTTGCCATCATTATGTCTAACCCTCCATGTAAATTACTTATGAATATGTGTATATGCATATTTATATATAAATGTACATTCATATACATGAAGAAGTAACACCAATACTTGCAAATTATCTAATATATTATAATTGCACAATATATCAGCACTGATTTTTCCTTTTGCTATTAATGCCTTGAATTTTTTTTGACTCATTTTGTATTCAGATGTTTTAAAGCCATT